ATGACCTCTCTCTCAAAGTTCATTCAAGCCCTGTGTCTATCTTTGTCACTATTTTCTCTATGATTTATTTCCATCTATAAAAGAAGGTTACTCTCCTCCTATTCTAATTAAAGATTTGTGAGGTCCAATTTAGATATACATTATTCAGATACTCTGTATATGCACAATGCAAGTAATTTCTAACTGCAGATTAATCATGTAAATATATTATTATATTTATTCATGCCTGGAGGAAACAGGAAGTAATTATGTAGCAGATAGTAGTCAACTTGGAGTTGAAAGCTAGAATATAGATACTGATACTGAATAAAACAATTCTGAATTTCATATTCAAAATACAGAGACATACAAATATACCATTCTCAGCCAGGGTTATTCTTCACAAATTTCCAGTATTTTGATTCTTGTGAGGTTTTCTAATAGTGAAAAGTGACTAGTTCTTCACGAAAGTGTTCAGTTTAATGTAGCTCTGAGTTATTGAAAAGATAGAAATGCTGACCAAAATTAAAAATTGAGCCTTCAATTAATTTGATAGAATTCAGTTAAGGAAAACAAACTATACATTATTAATATTAACATTGTGTAGAAATAAGCAATTCCTTTTTGTACTAATGATTAAACTTTCTGGTCAATTTGTCATTCAAATTTACAATTAGGAACCCCTGATTAATTTCTGTCCTTTCTTTTTGTTTGGCCCCCTGATTTATTTAAAAATCTTCTTCATATGCAAAGGTAAGGAAAAACTGAGTTCAACTGGATCTCTAGAGGTCTAAAATCATTTAGTTTTGTCCCTTAAAAAATCTGTAAAATTTTTAGAAGAATTTCTTTAAAAAAAAAAGAAAGCCAGAGAAATATTTCTTAAGAATTTGCCAATAAATATGCAAGGAATATGTTCCTCACTAAAGAAATAATGTCATTTTATTGGAATAATGAGTGGTCATAGCTTCCACACCACAACTTCAAGCATTTTTTTCTCATGGCTAGAAATATACTTCCATTCATGAAGTAACTTATGGTAGCTAGCCTCTTTTATACAAATACTCTTCATCAAATATATCCATATATACAAATTTTACTGGGTCTTACATTACTTGTATCAATTGGTAAATGAGGGGTTTGGATTGGAGGATTTCTAAAGTATCTTTCAGTCTTAAAATTTTCGATGATTCTAGGAAACATCTAGAGAAACAGTCGAGAGGGAATTCTCAGATATGACTCACAATTAATATTTGGTATGTGCACATTTTACAAATCTTATATACAACCATTCCAAGACAATACAATAACTGAAAAACAAATGCAATTAGTTAATATTATTTAATTTCCAGAAATAAGAGATCCTGTTTGCAAGTGGCCGTTTCTATCAAAATATTCCCCCAGACATTCAGAACACATTCATTTACAGTGACCCAGATTAGGAAGGGAGAAGGATAGAAGAAAAATGTGGAAGAAACATAACAAAAAACTAGACTGAGATTTAGTAGCCTAAGATAGCTGCAAGAAATTCAATTATGTTGTTAAGCCTACCTACTGAAAAGAAAAGTCAGTACCTGAAGATCCTGATAAATTGCATAACAGAGTCAGTGTCATCCTATCCCTTGGCTATGATTTTTTTTTCTTTACTTAGTCTTCTTGCCATTATTTTATTTTAAAATGAGTTAGTTTAGTTATGGAATTGTAGAAAAACTACCCCCAAATGAACACAAAACTGCCCAGAAAGAAAGACCTATGGACACAAAAACTTCATAGGTCTATGTTTTGGGAAAAGCATCTCAAAGACCTTGTCTTGAGTTTCTAATTCCATGATTCTGATCAAATTCTATTCTTGGATCCTGATCATATTGGAGACAGATAATCTATACAGTCTTACAGTGCCCAGATTTTTACTTTCAGGTATGTAATGCTTCTTACTAATAGAACAATCTGTACCACATTTTTGTTATATTTTAATCAGTTGTGCTAACATGTACTTATCTCAAAATTCACTATGTGAACAATGTACTTGTTATCCTCTCAAAGAAACAAGTATTTTGAATATGTTGTCAGACTCTACATAAATTTCCTCCATTGAAAAATGCAATATCCTCTGTTTATGATTTGTTAGCATGCGTTGACTGTTCTATTATTTAAGTAATATTGTACGTACAGGTGAAAGAACTTTGCTAGAGAGACAGTGTCTGGCATAATGCCTGGAACACAGTAGGCTGTGAATAACTACATGTTGAAAGAATACATAACTGAATGAACTACTATCAAAAAGAACTCAAACAGTAAGTTAAACTTTGGCTCAAAGCACAAGTTTTCAAATTGTCAAATTTCTGTCTTATTTGGCCAACATATGACAGGCAACACAATTCCCTTGGTCTCTGTCTTTGTTTTTGATGCAGCAGAGGTTTCAATCTGTTTGGTCAGTAACTGTTTTTGTTCCATTTCCCTTTTAAAAATGTTTCATTTAATAGGGAAAGTCCTTTTCTTGAGGATACTAAGAGGATCTCCAAAGGTCACTGCATATAATACCCAATAAATGATTCTGACTAAGGTCAGTGCCACTGGAAAATTTAGGGTGATGGTTGATATTCCCATTGTATATTTAAAAATGTCATAGTTTGTTTTCAAATTTCAATGCATAAATACATACCATGTATCTGTAATAGCCCTATTTTTCTTCTCCCAACTTTCCAGGATGGTCTGTGTTCCATCTAATTTGAATGCTGAATTGATTCTATTTAAATCATCTTTCTGAAATGAAAGATAGCTCACTTTCTCTTCACTGAGGAATTAATTAACTCTCCCAATAATTGGCTTGAATTTTTTAAATGGAAAAATTACACAGAATTTTTATTTTAGTAAAGAATAGTTGTTTATCTTTAAAAACATTTAAAAAGACATTCTGCACTAAGTTCATCATCTTTTGGGAAACTATTAAAGCAACAAAATTACATCAGACTTTCTGATTTCTCCATAGTGTCCTTCGATAAATAAACAACCCAATAGACCATGTTAAATGCCCCAAATGTTACTGGAAAGAGAATGCGGGCATATTTGTCTATCTTACTTGTGCCAGATCCAGAAGGTGGTGGAGCAGAGGGAGGAGTAGTGGCTGACAACTTCCCAGAAGCCCCTATGGTATTAACTGTGGTCTTAATCCGCTCCAGTCTTGATCCAAACACACGATGGGTAGAAGCAGATGCTTGCTGGGGAGCAAACCCAGTTCTACTAGGAGCAGAAGGAGGAGCAATTGGAAGTGCTCTTGCAGCAGATATAGTTTCTGCTGCATTTACATGGCTGAATGGGTTTGGACTGGAAGCTAAGTAAGACTGTGGTGTGGCTTCAGAAGATCCTTGACCCGTCATGGAAGATTTCCTCGAATGGTTTCCCACCTGAGTTCTGTTGCCAACATCAGATTCAGAGTGAACCAAGGCATTTGTTCTTTTTCTCATGTTCAGATTGGCATTTGTGCTCTGAAATGGTATATTAAAAATGATACTGGTTATGTAATTTTATGTAGATTTATACAAAATTCAAAGGGATCAAATAATTAAAATTACTTCGCTTCTATAAAACTAATTTTTATTAATATGCCTTTGCCACTCAACTTTCTGTTAAAGTTTGAAAATGCTAAATAAAAAATAACATGGATATATTTGAAACTGAATCAAAAACCTTCTATTTCAAAATATTATCTGTTCTTACAGATAATTAGAATTTAAATCTACAAAAATATTAGGCTTTTAGGGCTGTAAATTAGAGTTATACATGATTTTATTTTAGGAGTTCATGATGATAACTACCTAATTTTTTTTTTTAGTTCTATGGTACAAGACATTCTGAGATGTTATATGCATTTCAGTGAGTTTTGTATATGTTTGTTTTCTATACAGGAATAAGAGTATCTACTGCACAGAGTAACAATAATAAACATCCAATGTATATGACATCCCTTAAAGAAAAAATAGAAATTCCAAAAGCTTTAATTTCCAAATCCCCAGTATTTATTTTCATAATCTTACATAAGCAATCATATACATTACTATAAAAATCTCAAAATCCTAATATATTGTAGTTTTTCACCACAATTAGTAGTTAAAACATAAAGGCAGATAAATTTTAAATAAAATGTTGCATTAGACATGTAAACAGTGTCACCGTATTGTTGCATAAGTATCTGAGATCAAATTATTTACAAATTAAGAGTGTTTAAATCAAAATGGAATTCACTATTTTCTATCAAATTATTTCATGTGTAGAACAAGTCTGTATTTGAATACAGATGCATGGTAAACATTAAAATAATTTTCCTTCTACTTTAATAGTCACAATAAGTAACTATATAGCCAAATATAGATTGTCCATACTAATATAGGAAAGCGATTGCTCAAATTATTACCAAAATTGTCATGTCTGTCCTTAGGGTATACTATAATTTTGCAACAGTTTTTTCTCTTTAATCATGTTTATTCTAAGTTATATTAAGGGCATAGAGTAATTACTTTCTGTACATGCTCTCCTTATCATTTTATGAAACAAATGGTGAATGAGGAAATGGAGAGTAGAGAAGGGATTGAGAAAGAAGAACAGTCCACAAGTGCATGATTAGAAGGAAACAGCCTACAAGGAACCTCACAGATAATATTATGTACAATTAACAGAGAGCTCACTTTACAGAGAAATGTTTTCTCTGCAAATGTAATCTTTTTTTCAATACCACTTTCATCAAGCAGGTTGAAAGAGTTCAATCCATATCTCATACACTTGTGAATTATGATTTCAAGTTCACTAAGTAGAAAAAGAAAATAAATGCCTCACAAAAAGCAGAGGATAGCCTAAGATAGCTGCAAGAAATTCAATTATGTTGTTAAGCCTACCTACTGAAAAGAAAAGTCAGTACCTGAAGATCCTGATAAATTGCATAACAGAGTCAGTGTCATCCTATCCCTTGGCTATGATTTTTTTTTCTTTACTTAGTCTTCTTGCCATTATTTTATTTTAAAATAAGTTAGTTTAGTTATGGAATTGTAGAAAAACTACCCCCAAATGAACACAAAACTGCCCAGAAAGAAAGACCTATGGACACAAAAACTTCATAGGTCTATGTTTTGGGAAAAGCATCTCAAAGACCTTGTCTTGAGTTTCTAATTCCATGATTCTGATCAAATTCTATTCTTGGATCCTGATCATATTGGAGACAGATAATCTATACAGTCTTACAGTGCCCAGATTTTTACTTTCAGGTATGTAATGCTTCTTACTAATAGAACAATCTGTACCACATTTTTGTTATATTTTAATCAGTTGTGCTAACATGTACTTATCTCAAAATTCACTATGTGAACAATGTACTTGTTATCCTCTCAAAGAAACAAGTATTTTGAATATGTTGTCAGACTCTACATAAATTTCCTCCATTGAAAAATGCAATATCCTCTGTTTATGATTTGTTAGCATGCGTTGACTGTTCTATTATTTAAGTAATATTGTACGTACAGGTGAAAGAACTTTGCTAGAGAGACAGTGTCTGGCATAATGCCTGGAACACAGTAGGCTGTGAATAACTACATGTTGAAAGAATACATAACTGAATGAACTACTATCAAAAAGAACTCAAACAGTAAGTTAAACTTTGGCTCAAAGCACAAGTTTTCAAATTGTCAAATTTCTGTCTTATTTGGCCAACATATGACAGGCAACACAATTCCCTTGGTCTCTGTCTTTGTTTTTGATGCAGCAGAGGTTTCAATCTGTTTGGTCAGTAACTGTTTTTGTTCCATTTCCCTTTTAAAAATGTTTCATTTAATAGGGAAAGTCCTTTTCTTGAGGATACTAAGAGGATCTCCAAAGGTCACTGCATATAATACCCAATAAATGATTCTGACTAAGGTCAGTGCCACTGGAAAATTTAGGGTGATGGTTGATATTCCCATTGTATATTTAAAAATGTCATAGTTTGTTTTCAAATTTCAATGCATAAATACATACCATGTATCTGTAATAGCCCTATTTTTCTTCTCCCAACTTTCCAGGATGGTCTGTGTTCCATCTAATTTGAATGCTGAATTGATTCTATTTAAATCATCTTTCTGAAATGAAAGATAGCTCACTTTCTCTTCACTGAGGAATTAATTAACTCTCCCAATAATTGGCTTGAATTTTTTAAATGGAAAAATTACACAGAATTTTTATTTTAGTAAAGAATAGTTGTTTATCTTTAAAAACATTTAAAAAGACATTCTGCACTAAGTTCATCATCTTTTGGGAAACTATTAAAGCAACAAAATTACATCAGACTTTCTGATTTCTCCATAGTGTCCTTCGATAAATAAACAACCCAATAGACCATGTTAAATGCCCCAAATGTTACTGGAAAGAGAATGCGGGCATATTTGTCTATCTTACTTGTGCCAGATCCAGAAGGTGGTGGAGCAGAGGGAGGAGTAGTGGCTGACAACTTCCCAGAAGCCCCTATGGTATTAACTGTGGTCTTAATCCGCTCCAGTCTTGATCCAAACACACGATGGGTAGAAGCAGATGCTTGCTGGGGAGCAAACCCAGTTCTACTAGGAGTAGAAGGAGGAGCAATTGGAAGTGCTCTTGCAGCAGATATAGTTTCTGCTGCATTTACATGGCTGAATGGGTTTGGACTGGAAGCTAAGTAAGACTGTGGTGTGGCTTCAGAAGATCCTTGACCCGTCATGGAAGATTTCCTCGAATGGTTTCCCACCTGAGTTCTGTTGCCAACATCAGATTCAGAGTGAACCAAGGCATTTGTTCTTTTTCTCATGTTCAGATTGGCATTTGTGCTCTGAAATGGTATATTAAAAATGATACTGGTTATGTAATTTTATGTAGATTTATACAAAATTCAAAGGGATCAAATAATTAAAATTACTTTGCTTCTATAAAACTAATTTTTATTAATATGCCTTTGCCACTCAACTTTCTGTTAAAGTTTGAAAATGCTAAATAAAAAATAACATGGATATATTTGAAACTGAATCAAAAACCTTCTATTTCAAAATATTATCTGTTCTTACAGATAATTAGAATTTAAATCTACAAAAATATTAGGCTTTTAGGGCTGTAAATTAGAGTTATACATGATTTTATTTTAGGAGTTCATGATGATAACTACCTAATTTTTTTTTTTAGTTCTATGGTACAAGACATTCTGAGATGTTATATGCATTTCAGTGAGTTTTGTATATGTTTGTTTTCTATACAGGAATAAGAGTATCTACTGCACAGAGTAACAATAATAAACATCCAATGTATATGACATCCCTTAAAGAAAAAATAGAAATTCCAAAAGCTTTAATTTCCAAATCCCCAGTATTTATTTTCATAATCTTACATAAGCAATCATATACATTACTATAAAAATCTCAAAATCCTAATATATTGTAGTTTTTCACCACAATTAGTAGTTAAAACATAAAGGCAGATAAATTTTAAATAAAATGTTGCATTAGACATGTAAACAGTGTCACCGTATTGTTGCATAAGTATCTGAGATCAAATTATTTACAAATTAAGAGTGTTTAAATCAAAATGGAATTCACTATTTTCTATCAAATTATTTCATGTGTAGAACAAGTCTGTATTTGAATACAGATGCATGGTAAACATTAAAATAATTTTCCTTCTACTTTAATAGTCACAATAAGTAACTATATAGCCAAATATAGATTGTCCATACTAATATAGGAAAGCGATTGCTCAAATTATTACCAAAATTGTCATGTCTGTCCTTAGGGTATACTATAATTTTGCAACAGTTTTTTCTCTTTAATCATGTTTATTCTAAGTTATATTAAGGGCATAGAGTAATTACTTTCTGTACATGCTCTCCTTATCATTTTATGAAACAAATGGTGAATGAGGAAATGGAGAGTAGAGAAGGGATTGAGAAAGAAAAACAGTCCACAAGTGCATGATTAGAAGGAAACAGCCTACAAGGAACCTCACAGATAATATTATGTACAATTAACAGAGAGCTCACTTTACAGAGAAATGTTTTCTCTGCAAATGTAATCTTTTTTTCAATACCACTTTCATCAAGCAGGTTGAAAGAGTTCAATCCATATCTCATACACTTGTGAATTATGATTTCAAGTTCACTAAGTAGAAAAAGAAAATAAATGCCTCACAAAAAGCAGAGGAAAAGCAGGATCTATGAGGTTTAGGAAGCAATCTTTATGTCAGCCTAGAGTATTCTTCTAAGCAGGTTGCAACTGAAATCATACTAAATTTAGTCTAACATATGGCACCTAATTTTGTTGGAGTCAACTGAAATCAAAATTGACATCAACCTAAAAGCCAAAGGTCCCATTATTTATCCTGTAGTTTCTCTCTACAAAGCAATTTATTTCTCTTAATTATAAATGCCAATTAAGCCTCTCATTTTGAGTCCCTTTTTAGGGAAAGGGCCCATTTTGTAAAGATGAATAAATACCCAGAAGAGAGAATATAAAGAAGGATAAAGTATATCCACAACATTTAAAGAGCTTACACTGTCATTGGCAAAATGTACACCCACACACGATACACATGAACAAAAAACATAACAAAACATAAAATACAATGAAGGGTCGAATTGTAGCAAAATGCTAAATATACTAACAAGAGCAGGAAAATGTTAGTAAAGGACCAATTGAACAAGCAGCAGAAAAATACATTATTTTCAAATATAGTCTGATCTTTGCATACTACCTTCTTCTACCAAAAGTTAGGTTGCCCATAATCTTTAGAAACCCGTATTTTTTCCAAACTAAATTCTAAAAATTAGAGACTTCACTTCTGACCAAAATTGAGTAATAGGGCCTAAATTTACTGCATGAAATGGTCCAAAAAGTGGACAAAATTTATGAAACAACTATTGTTTGAAGACAGTGGGCATTAGACAACACAGGACCATAATCCTATTGGATTATGAGAGAAAAGAAACAAACTTGAGAGAGTTTCCATGTTATGGTGCAGGAAAGGAGAATCCTGGAAAAATCTGACAGATCCCTGAATTAAGGAGACTGAGCTAAAAATCTGGGGAAATCAAGGCGGCTGAAGTTCACAGGGAAAAGGAACAGAGAAGTGTGTGCTGAAACGAGAGAGAACTCCCCAAATCTCAAGAATCCCTATTGAGTATTTTGCTAAACACAAATCAGATTATTAGTGTGAGGTAACTGCCCAAGGCTGAAAAAGGAACCACCTAAAAGGACTAGAAGAAAATAGTACCTTACACACACAGCACGAGAACTAGCGCCCGTTCCCACCAGGCAAACTGGAAGATCTCAACATTCATGTAGGATTTGGTAGTGTGCTCAGAAAGGCCTTGCCTCAATAATATGGAATAACTAGCCCCAAACACCATTCCTGCCTAAGAATTTTAAAAGTAAGACCTGAAAGGATGAAACTAACTCTAAGTAACTTAACTTCACCCCAGGAGAAAACAGAAGAACATTTACAGGACCCTGCCTTCTTTCCCTCTCCATGAATACCCTTCCGGAACCTCCTAAAATCCCAAATGTAAGTCATATTCTACATGGTTGATTGAATACAATAAATGGACTAATTTGTCCTCCTTCTTCATATTCACGTCCCTTGTAATGTAAGTTTTCCATTCTTCCCCCATCAAGACATGGAGTCTATTTCCCCACAAGCTTCCTTATGACCTTCTTTGGCCAATGCTGTATGACGGAAGTGATGTGGTATCATTTCTGAGTCTTAGCTTTAGGAGCCTTTGCTTGCTTCCACTCTCTCTCAAAACACTGCCAACAACAGAACAAGCTTGGGTTGGCCTGCTGGAAAGATCCCTTAGAGCAGATGCAGTCACCCCAGTGAGGCTCTCCTAGATCATCCAGCAGCTACCAGGCCACTAGACACAGGAGCTTGTCCCCGCTAAGATACAATGAGCTGCCTAGCCAAGCTTAATCGAGATCAACAGAACTTCCTAGTTGCCTCACACTTGAGACCAAAGATAAATGTTTATTGTATGCCATTGAGGTTTCGTAGTTATTTGTCATGCAACACTGTTGTGGTACTAGATGAAGTGTACAGACCATTTGAATCAAGTGTCCCAAGAGGAGATATTGTCAAACCTCTCATGAGGGGAAATTCCTCAGACATTCTGGGATAATTTGAAGGCTGGTCTGGCCAGAATTTATCAAAAACCATGAGGGGGGCCCCATTGACTAATTCCACATACATTTTGCCCTTTATAATCTTATTCTTAAAGAATAATAGTATTTTTAAATTGAGGAATTTTGTAGTGATCAACTTAATCTAATTCCTCATTTTACAGTAGAGGAAAATAGCAGAAAGTTTATGACTACCTAGAAGTCATTCAGTTACTTGCTGTTTGCATGTTGCATATCCCCTAGATGCACAAATGTGGAAGAGGCATTAAAGAATTTAACAAACTACACCTATCTCTTTGAGTTTTTCAACATATGTAATAGTCAAATACATTGTTTAAAACACTATTGAAGACTTGGAAAAGGAGTACATCATGTCCTTTCAATTATCATAATGGAGCACTGCTTAACAAGTCCACCCAAGGATTACTGTCTGTAGCGGAATTTACCTGGGTTTGAATTTGCTATTTAAAATTAGATTTAATCCCAAACATTGTGAAGCTACACGTTAACTTGTACATTCCCATCCAGTAGAAAAGACCACCAAAGGTTATAGTTTTGTTGCCCTGTGGGATATTAACCACTTCTGTATCTAACCTAGCAATCTTATTCTAGTATTCCGTTTTTTGTTTAAATGGCTACTTATAGTCATTCTTCAAAAAGATTTTGAGCCATTTTCACCATTTAAGTGGTTCCCTCATTAACTAATGACTTGAATAAAACTTTAACGTATGTCCATTTCATATTTCTATGCCATGTTTTTGACAGTTTGAAAATTATATTCTAACAACATATATTATTGTATTCTTTCAACATCTACTATTTAAAAAGATATGAATATCAACAGAATGTAAGTATAGATTTGAGAATATGCCTGGAGAAAAAAGTGATCTCAAGCCAAAGAACTAGGACTGCCTAAGGTGATTGGAAAAAGAATCAATGAAGATACTTTATGAAAACATAAGGAGCAGTATGAAATGTGCCATTAATTACCATCTGACAATAAAGATCAAATCTTTTTATTCCCAGTGTAAAAGTATTAGTGAACTTCTAGAGTATAAAGCCACCTTATTAATCATTGTAGGCTAATTCACGTAACAGGCACCAACTTCACTTTTTAATACATTTCATTGAAATGCATACAGTACAGAATCAAGATTCTTTTTCAAGGTAAATAAAGAGAAAGCTTCAATAACTTTCTATCTGACATCCAGATTACTTTTTTCTTTGTTTATGGGACAGATTTTTAGAATATTACAGATACTACAGATAGTGCCTAAAGCATTTAAGTTATCTTGACTCCTTCTCAAGTCTGAATAAGAATGCTTTAGAAGTGTCAATACTCCATAGATAAGAACCTACACAAAGGAAAGCAGAATTAGACTGATTTGAGGCCTAAATCTCTGCTGTTTACCAAGCAGCCAAATGATACTCAGATTATTTTGTAATGATATCTCAAGGCCTCCTATGTAAAGAGTAATTATCATTTTCCATGATAACAAACCACAAAATGATTGAGAAATCTGCTGACCTACAGGACTCACTAGGAATAATATTCACACAGGACTCACTAGGAATAGTAGTATTCACACAGCCTTCAAGTTTCAGAACAACTAATATGTCAGTCAGAGTGATGTTGTATTTCCTACAGTTTAGAGACTTGAGTGGCCCCATC